TTTTGTTTTTGTTTTCTTTCACTGTTGAAAAAAGGAGGCACAAAGCCAGAAGACAGAGAATTTGAAGTTTAGCTGGACAGTGATGCTTTAAACTAGGAAGCAAAAGGCTTCCTAAAAATTGGAAAGAAAACCACTGGAAGAAAAACACTGGGAGAAAAACCAACGTTGGTAATTTTAGGCTCATATATTAGGAGGTGCAGCTTAAACGATTTCATAGCTAAAAGACATTCAGATGTTATCACATGCCGACCTGCCCAAGAAGTATAATAAAAATTAAGAATAAAGAAAATGTGGGTGGGGGGAGGGAGGTGTAGTTGTGGAGGTGGGAGGAAAGGGATGGTGGGGGAAAACAAAGGAGGAGACAACAATGTTCAATAGGAAATGTACTCAATACCTTGCTCATGTAACTGTAACCCTGCTATACAGAATTTTTACAATAAAAACGTACAAAAAATTAGAAACACAAAAGAAAATGTTACTAAGAAATTGCATATTATAAATCAATAATTATAAAAACTGTAGAATATGCGTCTATTCAATGTTATGGATCTTAATTATCCATTTATCTTCCTTTTAATGTTTTTTTTTTTTAATTTAGGAACAGGCCCGACTACTAAAAGAGGGATTTCAATCAGAGAGCAGACAGCTTCATAATGAGATACAAAATCTCCAGAAGAGGGTGTCAGAATCAAGGAGTAACTGTGTCATATGTTGAAGACCTAAAGAATAAAGTTTATTTTTTTAAATCATCTTTACTCAAGACATAGCTGAAGCAAGTTTAGAATTTGGAACATATGCCAGTTCACTTAGTAATACATAGGTCTTGTAACATAATACCAAAACATTCAGAACAATATCTGAAAGCATGCTGATCTTCTTTAAAAGATTGTAAATTGTGCATGGATGCATTTAACCTCTGTGCCAATACAAGGGATATCACTGAGATCATTTAGGAGAAATGTAAGCCTCCAAAGGACCACCAGCAGTCAGACCTTGAACAAAGTCTTAAGTAAAAATCTTGGCACATAGGCACCAATTTAAGTGAATCAATGGGTCCAAAAATTGAGGGAAGCCATCCTAGTTCTTACTGAAGACATACAGTTCTCTGTTACAAAAAGAGTGTTCCCTCTATTAGAAAATGTGCTTTCTAAACACAGGCAATAGATAATGCTCACGGATGGGTTTCCATACTAAAGTAAACAGCATTATATAGAAATATGGAATGACTATATAGTCTCCACAAAAAAGATGGGGGAAAAAAGCACACTAGCACGAGAAGGACTTTGATTATGAAGACTTCTTCTTGCTCAATTCATCTAGATTATAACTTTAATGGGACATTTTAGATAGTTGACAATGGATTAACAGTAACAAGGTATTTATAATGTATAGTTTACTCTTAGTAATGTATGAGTTGGAAAGCTGTATTTTACCTTTTATGCAGTACTGAAATTCGAACTCAGGGCCTTGTGCTTGCTAGACAAGTATTCTACTACTTGAACTATGTGTCCAGCTCTGCAAAGGTAAAATTTTCTTTTTAATGAGAATAGCTAAAAGAGTGGGGAGTGGGGAGGAGAAAGCAGGAGAAAACGAGGGAGGGGATAACAGAGTTCAAAAAGAAATGTACTCATTACCTTACTTATGTAATTGCAACACTCTTGTTCATAACCTTTACAATAAATAATAAAAAAGACAAAGAAAAAAGATCTACTCTAATGTTTTGTTTGTAATTGGAAAGCCTAATTAAGCCAAGGTTTTTCTAATTATTTTCAGTTAAGTTCAAAATTCTACTGATTTTCCCAGAGAGACTTTGTTTTGATATGTTGTGATCAATAAAATGTTGCTCCTATTATTACTTCATATTCTAATTGCTAAAATTCCAAAGTAAGTAGTTGAAGTTTTTAAAGTGATTAAGAATTGTTTTTAAACTTGTATTTTTCACAAGACTTTTCTTTTTTTCTGTTTTAAACTAAAAATAAAGCTCTTCATTTTCATAACAATGGTTGGCTATTTTTTCTGTGAAAAACTAGAAATTAACTATTTACAGCTTTGCAAGCTTAGAATTCTCAACTCTGCCTATAACACAAACACAGCTATAGGCAGCACATAAGTTGGCTGTATTCCAGTAAAACACTATCATCAAAATAGATATCAATAGATTGTACACCTCTACTTTACAGAAACCCTGACCAAAGTTCTATTTGGCCACTTTATGTTGTTTACATTTAGAAAAATCACAGGAAGGCCGGGCATGGTGGCATGTGTCCATAATCCCAAATAAGTGGCTAAAGCAAGAGGCTCACAAGAGACCAGCCTGGGCTACACAGTGAAATTATATGGATAGGCTGCCTATATTAGGAACCTGAAAAAATTATGAGATGTTTCAAGATATTATATGCTCCAAAAAATGCAGAGAAGTAGTTAATGCTATTAAGTGCTCACTAAAAGCCCTGGTGCTTTTTCTTCTAATTTTTTTTGGGGGTCCGGTTGTGGGGCCTGAACTCTGGGCCTGGGCGCTTTCCCTCAGCTCTTCAGCTCAGCGCTTTACCACTTGAGCCACAGCGCCACTTCCGGCTTTTTTCTTTTTGCTTATGTGGTGCTGAGGAATCGAACCCAGGGCCTCATGCATGCAAGGCAAGTGCTCTACCACTGAGCCACCTTCCCAGCCCATACTTTTTAAAGGTATGTTCTTACTTTGTGCTTCCTTCCCCCCCTCTCCCCTTCCCTTCCCTCCTCTCCTTCCCTGTCAAATGCCTCCTCACAGTTGACCATGATGCTGCCAAGCAGTATTTCTTCACTTGAACTTGAACTTCATAGTGGTCCAAGCAAGACTACAACACTAGTTTAAGTTATGTAGATAGATTTTTAACTTTTCTTTCTCAAGTGGCATTGTTACAAAGGAGTAAGATATTTATTATTAATAATAATAAGTGAAAAAACTTTGTGGTAGAAAAGAGTAACACTGCCTTCAAAACCAATAATGATCTGTTGACTCACGCTTGTATGCTAGCGACTCAGGAAGCTGAGATCAGAAGAGCTTCACGTTGAAGGCAGCTCATGCAGAAAAGTCTGCTAAATTTCTTCTCAAAAAGAAAAAAGCCAGCAAAAAAAAAAAAAATAGAGACATGGCTCAAGTAATAGAACATGAATTGAGCAAGTACAAATCCCTAAGTTCAAACTCTCAGAAGAAGAAAATAAATAAACAAACAAATAAATAAATGAACAAAGACAACAAAATTAAGCCTTTTGCTTCCTAGTTTAAAGCATCACTGTTCAGCTAAACTTCAAATTCTCTGTCTTCTGGCTTTGTGCCTCCTTTTTTCAAGAGTGAAAAAAAAAATCTTTCTTTAGGGAGGCATGTTGTGCTGTTTTCAATCCTGCTGTGCATGAATATCAACTTATTAAAAAGATTCCCTGCTCTCTGCCCTTGCCCTGGCTTTCTGACAGGATAGGTCTGAGAGGGTCACTGGGGACAATAAACACAAGGAAAGGGAAAGGAATGCCTTCAGTCTACTGCTGCTGCACAGGCTGCATTGCCTAACATTCAGGTCGCTTTCTGTGTCAAAAATAGTTTGAATTTTAATAGACTTTCTAATTGTGTTTGAGCTTAGTTAAGATATCTTTTCTTGTTTAAGATATAATTTGCCACTTTTCTTTCTATGTTTTTAGTGAAAGGAAATACAAGTTCCTTTGATGTGTGTGTGTGGGGGGGGGGGGGAGAAACATATCAAACACTGAAATACCAATGAAAGAACAGAAATTCCTCAAAGTCCAGACTCAAGAATCAAATAGGCCAAGTAGGCTGACTCTACCAAAAACTAGAAATCTACATAAAGATTTAACAAAATATTTTAGTCTTTGATACATCCAATAGGCAAAGTAAAAGTCATCAGACTTTTAGTTCAAACCCTAATACTGAGAAATTACACAGTAATTTCTTAGGCTACAGGGACTTATTTATTTAATAGACACTAATTAAGTATCTACAGTGTACTCTGCCAAGGACTGGGAAGCATGGTTGTAGTCTGTCTCATAAGGAGCTAACAGTCTAGTATTGAATATAGATATTGAAACAAATACATATATATATATATATATATTAAATTAACTACCCAAGAAATTAAGAGGAAGACATCTGTCATTTAGGAAGGAGTTGAGCTACAAACACACCTTGCCAACTGCAGTACGTTCCGTTCCTCCATCCAAGACTGGTTTTGTTGGTTCCACGAGGTCTGAATTCCCTCTCTCCTTCCCTCACTCCTACCATACCTTCTTCTTAAAATACAGGAGGAAGATATGGGGGGAAAGATGGAGGGGAGGGAGGATACTTAATAGAAACTCACCTTTTGGAACACTGCCCTCCTCTTAGGAGTGACCCATTGTGCTCTTCCTTTCTTACCTTCCTTTCTAAAGAGGTCATCTGTTTTCCCCCATTCCCCTGCATTCTCTGTTCTTTCACCAGACTGGTTAAACTGTCCTGGAAGGTAACAGCTTCTCCCCCACCCCTTCCCACCCGATCTGCAAGCCTGCTTCAGTCTTTGGGTCGGCCGACTCTTGGGCTCCTCCCCAAATCTTCCACCTGGAGCCCACCCTCGTCTAGCCCCCGGGCCCGCGAGTGCACCCACCACCGTCCAAACCTAGCCCAGGCCTCATCCCAGGCCCAACGACCCCATCTGCGCCCCAGACCTTCCCAACCAACCTTTTTCTGTTCCATGTTTACTGCCCATCTCGCCCGCCCCAAACACAACAAACCCGCTGCCCTCTCCCCTCCCGTTAGCCACCTCGGCTCAGAAGCCGCACCCACCCTGGTCCACCCGCGCCGGGCAGAACTCTCGGGGTAAGCCGTGCCCGCAGCCCCAGGCCACGACCTAGCCCCAGGCCGTGCGCAGCCCCGCCCCGCCCTCCTCCCGCGCAGGAGGAGCATCCAATCTGCAATCAGCTCAGCTCACAGCCAATCAGCAGCCCGCATTCAGACCGCCGGGTGGGCCTAGTCCTAGCTCCCTCCGCGCTCAGTCCGGGGCTGGACTGCGGCAGGACAGCGAGGTGAGTGGGCCAGGGACCGCGGGGCCGGGTGCGTCGGGCCGGGCTGGGACGAGCGAGGTACGATTCACATCCTGATCCAGACTCTCGCTCAGTAGCCACGGGGCCGCTGCAGCCGGATCCTAAGCCAGGGCCTGGGGGGCCGTGGCTGAGGGACCGCCCCAGGGTCTCCCTGGCTTTCCCCGCAGAGCCTGGCGTGGGTGCCTGGCCTCCCGGGATCCTCTGCACCCCAGTCACCAACCTGTCACCTTTTGTTCTCATTGATTGTGGAATTTGGAGATTCAGAAAGAAAGAAGTCCGAAGGTAACACTGCTGTCCCAGTTCTTCGCGATCCCATGATCAGGTGTGACTCCTCCCAGAAGTGAATCTTAGTGGAGTCCAAAGTGTTTACCGGACAACAGCAAGCCAGTAAAGGTAGAGGCCCGAGCCTCTGGACACAGAGATCCTTCATCCGACACAGGGATTGTTAAAATCTGACCTCACGTATGAAAGCCTAGGATTTACATGCAATAATGATGTGCCCAAGTTGCACCAGGCAGCCATCTGTCTTCCTTTTGGAGAAACTGATAATTACACAAATCTCAAGTCACTTGAGCATTTGTTTCAAACGATTTCTGGATGGACCTCCTTCAATCTTGGGCTGATAAACTTTAGCAATAACTTTGCCTAACAACGTGATGTTGAGTCTTCTCCTTCCTACTTTCCTTTTCCAGCCAGCATTTTGTTCACCTCTTGGATGCTCTCTCTGTTGTAACCAGTGAATATTACAAACCTTTTAGAAGTGGACTAACAGGAAAAGCATGAAGTGAAAATAATCTCGCTTAGTGATTTCTTTGATCAATGTGGTCTGTTCTTCTGTAGTTACCCCATTGTGCAGTTATCTGGTGGTAATCTGGCTGTAGTTTACCAGCTCCCGAGAGCCTTATGGAATTGCCTTTTTTGCCTACTTATGCGTATGCATACACTCTATATGCATATATATGAAAATGTTTTACAACTTGATATTGATCATTTGAACTTAAATCTAGAGCATTGAACCCTTTTTTTTTTTTTTTTTGGTTGTGGTGGGGTTTGAACTCTGGGCCTGGGTGGTGTCCCTCAGCTCTTCTGCTCAAGCTGAGTGCTCTACCACTTGAGCCACAACACTACTTCCATTTTCTGAGTGGTTTATTGGCGATCAGAGTCTCATGGACTTTCCTGCCTGGGCTGGCTTTGAACCTCGATCCTGAGATTTCAGCCTCCTGCATAGCTAAGATTACAGGTGTAAGCCAACGGTGCCTGTCTAAAAACACCTAATTAATTGTCCAACATAACTGGGTTTCATTATGACCTTATTATACTTGATTACCATGTTCTTCTGTCACTTATATGTTATTCATTTTCCTCTCCGTTCCCCTTTTACTGCTAGTCTCCCACTTCTCCCAAACACTCCCGTTTGCTTTTATGTCCTTTTATTATTTTTTGTTTTATATGAGAGATAAAATATAATTTTGTCTTTCTGAGTTTGGCTGATTTCACTTAATGGTGTTCAGTTCCATTTTTCTGAAAAATGACATAATTTTGCTCTTTATGATTCACTAAAACTCCACTGAGTATATATGCACTACTTTTTCTCTATCTACTCATTTCAAATGAGCACTTAGGCTGAGTCCATGATTTGTATATTTCAAGTGGTGTCCCAGTAAACAGCAGTATGAAAGTATATTATATGTTAACTTTGATCCCCTTGAGTTTGTCCATACTTGAGAGTAGTAGTGCAGGAGGATCATAAGGTGATTAGTTCCATTTTCAATTTTTTGAAGAATCTCCATACTAACTTTAGCAATGGCCTCACTAATTTATATTTCTACACACAGAAAGTATGTAAAAGTCCTCCACCCCATCTTCACCAGCACTTGTTATTGGGTTTCTTGATGATAGCATTCACACTGAGGAGATTTTGTTTACATGTCCTTTATAATAACGAAAGATGTTGAATATTTCTGATTTTGAAAAAATATTTATTTTTGCCATTTTTACTTTTGAGGTCTGCTCAACTCATTTGACCATTTGCTTGGACTGTTTGTTCTTTTGGTCTTTAATTTCTGAGTTCTTTAGATATTCTGGATATTAGTCAGTTGTCAGATGAACAACTAACCTAGATGCTCTCCCATTCTATAAGCTGTCTCCAATCTGGTAATTATTCATTCACTGTGCAAAGTCTTTGTGTAGCTTATTAGTGAATATAGGCATGTTCACTATAATTCTAATTGTATTAGAAAATGTTTGTCAAAACATATTTACTTCATGCACAGAAGAAAACTGGCTTGCTTCAAAGCTTCTCAATGTGTGACTGAACACGATGGGTTCTTCCCTTGGTGGGTAAAAAGAGTAAAGAGAAGGTCATTACTTGCAGTAAGTTGGAAGCACACTAGAAATAGTTCACAAAACATTGCCTTTCCAAACAAAGAAAGCAAAGAGCTTTCATAGAAAAATATGCACCTCCGTATTAAGAATGGCCTATAAGCACATACCCAGGCAGGCACATTCCGGCACATATTCAGTTTATACATCACATGTTAAAAAAAAAAAGGTAGACAAGAGTGCCCCTGCATAGGGAATTTACTATTAGAATGAATTGAGTTTACGCTAGGTCACATTAAAAGAATGAATTAGAGGCCAGGAGCCAGTGGCTCATGCCTGTAATCTCAGGAGGCTGAGATCTGAGGATCACAGTTCAAAGCCAGCCCGGGCAAAAAAGTCCATGGGACTCTGATCTCCAATAACCACCAGAAAACTGGAAGTGGTGCTGTGGTAGAGCACTAGCCTTGAGCTGAAGAGCTGAGGGACAGCACCCAAGCCCAGAATTCAAGCCCCACAACTGACAAAAAAAAAAAAAAAAAAAAAAAAAAAAACAAGAAAGAAAAGAAAAAAGAGTGAATTAGACAGACTAAATGATTTTGGATGATTTTTTTTGAAGGATACAAACATTTGAAGAACAATAACAACAACAAAAAAAACTTTAAAAGAGCCTTAACAGCCAAGCGATGGTGGCTCATACCTGTAATGCTAGCTACTCAGAAGGTTGATCTGACAATCAAGATTCAAACCTAGCCTGGACAGTAAAATCTTTGAGATTCTTATCTCCAGTTAACCACCAAAAAGCTGGAAATGGAGCTGTGGCCCATGATCTTAGATTTCTTTGAGTTTGCCACTGTTGCCCCTAGTTCCTTCCACAAGGAGGTTACCCAGGAACCAAGTGAAATGTGAGAAGTAAGATGGAATTGGGTCTGAGTGTTGCAAATTCCATCACTGAATGGTCGATAGGTGAGTGGTTCAAGAAAAAAGAGGGATTATAATGTGGCAAAAGCCAAAGGAACCCATAGTGTTTATGGGAGGAAGGGGACTGGGCTATCAATATTTTAAACTTCACATCCTTAAAAGATGTGAGAATTGCTAGATGTCCACCAGATGTAACAACCTGATAGTCAAAACTGACTTTAGCAAGAACTACTTTGATGAAGAAATGTTAGCGAAGTCAGAGTACATTAGATTGAGGAAAAGGAGACAGCTAGTAAAATAAGCTACAGTGGAAAGTTTTATATTTTTTTATGTTGTGCATTTTTGTTTTTGTTGTTGTTATTGTTTTTGTGGTACTGGTCCTGGGACTTGAATTCAGGGCCTGGGCATTATCACTTAGCTTCTTTTGCTCAAGGCTAACACTCTACTAGTAGCACTCTACCCTTACTCCATTTCCAGCTTTTTTGGTACTTTGATGGAGTTAAGAGTCCCATAAATTTTCTTGCTTAGGTCAGCTTTCAACAATGAATCTCAGATCTCAGGTGGCTGAGGCAACAGTGCCCTGCTCTGTGTTCTTTCTTAATTTGAAAGAGAATGAGGAAGTAGTTGAATATAGAAAACAAGGTTATAATGATTTTGAGTAGAAAAATCATAACCCAAACCATGGAGCAGTGGAAAGCATTTGGAGGCAGAGGTGGTGGAGGGATGATGCTGTTGTAGGAGGATCATTTCCTTTATTATAAGATGGCAGTGGGGGAGGGGTGTGGAAAGGACTTTGGGGGTTGGGCTTTTAGAGTTGAGCCCTTTGATGTCTTATGGTTTCCCTGGGATAGGAAGCAGAGTCATCTGCTTAGACTGAGAAGAATGGTAGAAAGTGTCAGGTTTGGGTATAGAAAAGGAATAATCATTTTGAACCGTGGGAGAGAAGTACTCACTACAAAATTGAGTTGAAATCCTGGGCAGTGTTGTGGGTCAATTTGAGACTGACGTCTCTTTTGACTTGAATATTGGGTCACTTGTCCAAGACAACAGTGTTCTAAGGTAGGGGCATGATGAAATTATTGGATCATGAGATCTCTGATCTTATCAGTGGATGAGTTCATAGCTTAATGTGCCATCAAGTTTAAGGGTACAGCTGCAGTTGAAAGCTCTTTGAAGAGTATATTTTGCCTCTGGCCCCCTTTTCTCTCTCTTTCTTCCTCTCTTTGCCCCCTGGCTGCCACAAGGTGAGCAACTTCCTCTACCACACATTCCTGCTGCCATGAGATTCAGCCTGACCCCAGGCCCAAAGAAATGAAGCCAGCCAACCTTGGACTAAAACCTCTGAGCCATGAGCCAAAGTAAACCTTTTCTTTTTTAAATTGACTTTCTGGAGTATTTGTTTTTCATGGTATCGGAAAGCTAAATAAGACGATGATCATAAATTGTTAAACTAGTCCTGCTACTTCATGTGGCTTTCTCTAGCAGTCAACTAAAATAGGATGCATATAGCAGAGCCCTGTAGAGTTTTGCTTTGAGATATACAGGTGGTCACAAGTCATTTTGTCAGCTGTTGCCTAAGAAGCTGGGCACGAACACTGGTGACCACAGGGGTTGGCTCACAAACCTGCAGAGCTAGAATTTAAGCTCACAAATGACTATCCAGTACAGGGCTTGGCTCACAAACCTGCAGAGCTAGAGTTTAAGCTCACAGATGACTATCCAGTGGCTTGACAATGCCTTCTAGCAGGAATTCGTCGATTTTTTTTTCCTGTTTAAGAAAAATAGATAACACTGTAGAGGCTGGGAATTCATTTACTCATTTGTCTTGAGGAAAAATGCTAGATTATATCAGGTTCAGTGAGAGTCTGACTTGTCTGAAGTAGATTATCATGACACTTAGTCCATTGATTTCAAGAAGCTTATCTACAATATACTTATCTACAATACAGAAAAGGATTTTACTTATTATGTGTTTAAATACCTAGGAAATCAGGTTGAGTTAAATAAATGGACATTTATTTGATGAAAAAAGTATCATCCTGAGCTGGGCGCTAGTGACTCACACCTGTAATCCTAGCTACTCAGGAGGCTGAGATCTGAGGATCTGACACACACACACAAAAGAGTATCATCCAGAAGTACTCATGATAGCTCAAGATGGTTCCTTTTTTTTTTTCCCTAAGACTTTCCTTTCATCTAATCTATTTAGTCTTTTTTCCAGAAGATTTAGTGCCTCAAGAATATGTACATGTAGTTTTAAGAAAACTTGATCTTAGACTTGAAAACATAAAATATAAGGGGTATCTAATTACTTTTGTGGGGGTTTTTTGTTTTTGTTTTTGTTTTTTTGGTGGTCATGGAGCTGGAACTCTGGGCCTGAACGCTGTCCCTCAACTCTTCAGCTCAAGACTAGTGCTCTACCACTTGAGCCACTGTGCCACTTCTGGTTTTCTGAGTGATTTATTGGAGATAAGAGTCTCATGGACTTTCCTGCCCAGACTGGCTTTGAACCAGACTGGCTTTTTTTTTTGTCGTGGGGCCTGAACTCTGGGCCTGGGCACTATCCCTCAGCTCTTCAGCTCAAGGCTAGTGCTCTACCACTTGAGCCACAGCGCCACTTCCAGCTTTTTTCTTTTTGCTTATGTGGTACTGAGGAATCGAACCCAGGGCCTCATGCATGCAAGGCAAGCGCTCTACCACTGAGCCACCTTCCCAGCACCGAACCAGCCTGGCTTTGAACCGTGATCCTCAGATCTCAGCCTACTGAGTAGCTAGGATTACAGGCATGAGCTAGGCCAGCTACTGATTACTTTTTAAAAAGACCATCTTTTATATGAGAATTCTCATAAGTAGCTCACTTAAATCATTATTATTGTGTGAGTATGTGAGCATGTGCATGCACGTGCCTGACCTGGAGTTTGAACTCTGAGCCTGAGCACTGTCCCTGAGGTGTGCTGGGTTTTTTTTTTTTTTTTGTATGTTTGTTTTGTTGAAGGCTAGTGTTCTGCCCTTTGAGCCACTGCTGTACTTTACAGTTTTTCCTGGTTAATAGAGATTTAAAAAAAAAATCTCATGGGCTTTCCTGCCCTGGCTAGCTGTACAGCATAATCCTCAGATCTCAGCCTCTTAAGCAGCTAGAATTACAAGCATGAACCACCAGTGCCCAGCATTCAATCATTCATTTTTTAAAATGTAAGTTATGGATTTACTGACTCAACAGTTGCTTAATAGACTGCTTGCTGCTGGCAGAGAGTTTGGTGGTGAGCAGAACACACCAGCTCTCTCCTAGTAAAGTTTACAAATTAACCAGTGAGAGATTGAGTAAACAGACAAACAAAAATGTTCTGCAAAGAAATAATAATAGGCTAGATAAGAGGCTAGCATAGGTTACATAGCTAGGGAAAGCCTTTCTGGAAACAGTCATTTAAGTTTACGTTATATTGATGAGCAGGATTTTCTTTCTTTCTCTCTCTTCCTTCCTTCCTTCCTTTTTCTCTCCCTCCCTCCCTTTCTCTCTTTCTTTCTCTCTCTCTTTCTTTCTTTCTTTCTTTCCCTCTCTTTCTCTTTCTCTCTACTTCTCTCTCTCTTTCTCTCTCTTTCTTCCTTTCTTTCTTCCTTCCTTCCTTCCTTTCTTTCCTTTTCTTTCTTTCTTTCTTTCTTTCTTTCTTTCTTTCTTTCTTTCTTTTTATCTTTCTTCTGAAAGATTGAACCCAGAGCCTCAAACATGTTAAGTACACACTCTGCCAATGAGCCATATCCCCAGCTCTCTACATTTTAAGGATCATCTCCTATATCATTATTATTATTATTATTATTATTTATTATTGCTAGTCCTGAGGCTTGAATGCATGGCCTGGGAAATACCCCTGAGCTTCTTTTGCTCAAGGTTAGCACTCTACCACTTGAGCCACACACAACACTTCTGGCTTTTTCTGTTTATGTGGTACTGAGGAATTGAACCCAGGACTTCATGCGTGCTAGGCAAGCACTCCATTTTTTTTTTTTTTTTACAGCTTTCTGCAGCAGAAGCATTCTGGTAACTTAGAGAGGTTCATCACGAGCTTCAGCGTCCCTTTGAACACAAGATTTCAGGCTAAGGTTAAATGAACTGTTGTAGATTAGAGAAATGCCATTTATGGGTACAGCAGCCATATATACACTCAAGAGAATAACCTGATCAGGAAAATCTTCCCAGGATGTTTCTAATTTCCTGTTTTCACCAGCTGGCTTTGTGAAGTTTCATTTCCTTGATCTAACTGTACTTATTCGTGACTTGTAACCGGTTTCCTACAAGTCGAGAAGCAGTTCCAAAATGCATGCCTGCTTTGTGACTGGAATCAGTAGAAATCGCTCCCTAGCTGTCTATGCAGTTATTGAGGAAAAGTTCCTGAAAAAATAACCTAGGATTCACCCACATATCCTCTGTTCATTGAGCACTTGTTGTCATCCATCTTTCTAAACAACTGAACAATCTGTTCCTAAACACTTTTGCCCTGTTGTAACAAGCCATGCTTGCAGTGTGTTAACCAGGCTGAGCTTAAACTCCTGAACCTCTAATCTTGGTAGCTGGGATTATAGGTGTGAGCCACCATACCCTGCTTATACATACTGCTTTCAATGGTTCTAATTATCCAGAGGATTCTGAAATTTGAGTAGATCCTAGATTGATATATTCATTATATTAAATATACTAGGGAATAAAATTGTATTTACTGAAATATATTGCTCTTAATTAGATAAAAGTAGATAAACACCTTATTTTTCATTTCAAACTTTCTTTAAAGACCTAAGCATTTGTTGACCTAATTATAACATCAGTATATCAGAGATACATTCTCCAAAGAATACTGATGTTTATCTGGGAATGGCAGAGAATTGTGATGAGAATCCCTGCACAGGAAACAACAAAGTCAAAAATATTCAGACAACGGGTGTATGTGTGTGTGTGTGTGTGTGTGTGTGTGTGTGTGAGAGAGAGAGAGAGAGAGAGAGAGAGAGAGAGAGAGAAAGAGAAAGAGAGAGAGAGAGAAACAGAACTAAGAATTACATCACATTATTTTGAAATGATAATGAGTCATCGTGATTAATAAAACGAGTTGCCTTGGTGCTAGTTTGAACAGCAAGTATATTTTGTATGGTTATAGTAGAATCTGGGAAAGCTTATGGTTATATCTTATGTAATACCAGGTGTAAATCTCTTCTTTTTTTTAACTTCCAGATTTATTTACTTTTTCTGTTAGGAATGACTGAACAGCTCCATTTTGATTGTGATAACTTGGTGCAATTCTTTCACAACACATTTTTCGTAAGATAAGGAAGAATAACTTTATCAGAATGATTCCACATTGAGAGATGAGAGAATAGAAGTAAGATTCAAAAAGAAAGAAGAGAGGGAGGGAGGAAGAAGGGAATCTTGTTCAGTTATCAAAACCGGGAGGAAGAAGGGAATCTTGTTCAGTTATCAAAACCGTGTATTAATAATATATAGAAGTTCATAGTTTCTCAGTGACCTATAAATATCTGGTAACCTTGTAATCATATTTATATGTTTATATAATTATATTCATCTATTTTTTCCAATTTTTCTTTTCTTTTCTAGCATGCTTTTGGCCCAAATGAGACTCTGTTCCTTTGGCAATAAAGTAAAATTTCTGAAGACAATTCCATCTTCAAAAACCCTTGGGTTCTCTACTTCTGCTGTAGGTATTGCTTATCACATATTGACAAACATTCTGTAATGTTGGTTTTTTTAAGATGCTCTTTTCCCCTCAGATACTTCTGTTTTCACAGTGTTAAAGATTGAATCCGGGGCCTTGCACATGGCAGGCAAGCACCATACCACTGCATCTCCAGCATCTGTTATTCTGAAAGGGTCTTGATATGCCACTCAGGCTAAACTCACTGTGTGGTCCAAGCTGGCCTCAAACTTATGGTTCTACTGTCTTAGCCTGCAAGGTGCTGGGATTACCTGTTTGTGCTACAAAGCCTGACTTTCCAGGGGCTTTTAGTGAGTGCCTTATTGGAATGGGTTGGGTGTATCTGTTATATCATGAGTCTTATAATTGACCAGAACTGCCATTCACTGAGCAACTACTTGCCTGGATGGGCTCAGACAATGTGTTGGGCATTATATAGTCATTACTTTAGCTTTTCGAAAACCCTTTAACTTTTGTATGATTTTTTTTGTATTCTTATTTTACACACAAGAAAGTAAAGACTGAAGATAAGTCTAGTAACCTGCCCAAGATCAAAGTTTGGGAACCCAAGTACCACAATCATCCTAATGTCTATGTTCTTTTTTTTACGCAAGAAAGAGTATTATAGCAAGTGAAAGTGCAGGTTCTGTGACTTTCAGTTTATAGAAAATACAGTCGATAGAGGAGCACGTAAAATGTTAGGTTTTTAAAAAGAGGTAGCCGAGGTAGCCACACCACGCATGAGGTATTCAGGTAAGGTGTAGGTTTATTCATCATTCCGGCTGGCACCAGGCCATGTTGGCCCTCCATGCTGCTGGAAAAGACCTGGGAAAGAGAGCGTCTGGGTCTGGCTAGGCCTTATCTAGGCTAGGATGGGGAAAGGTGTGGCCACATCGAATCCAGATGTGACCTCAGCGGATGCAGATGTGACCTCTTCCAGGTGTGCCAGTTGCTTAAGTAACGCAGGCACTGGGCGGAGACTTCGCTGTGAGGAGGGTGGAGTCTGCTCGCCATCCAGGAGCAGACCTTACAACCATATTTACTTTATTAGAAGCTTCTATTATCCACAACAATCTTAATACCACTGAAAAATTACTTTGAAGGACTTACTATGAGGAAGAGAATGGAATGTAGTCAGAACTGTGCTTTTCTATTTTACTTGCTTTTTTAATGAAGCACCTGATTTATTACTTCTATAATTCTTTTTTTGTACTTCTATAATTCTAAGTAAATAGTGTTCTGGACGCCAAAGGGAAAAACATACTGCTTATATAGCAAGAAGAGAAATTAATAGCCACTTGGATGAAGATTGGTTTACATTTCCTATTTTAACATCCAGACTTTAAAGACAAAAGAAAGAGGGAATGGGGAAGGAGAGGGAAGTAAGAGGAAGGATGAATGTCAACATAAAATAATGATTCTACCTGAGAGGAAATTTATATAATTTTTATTGTAAAGATACTGTACAGAGGGGTTATAGTTACATGAGTAAGGTTATGAGGACATTTCCTATCGAGCATTATTACCCCCTCGTTTGTTTTTCCTCTGCCATCCCTTCCAGTCCCACCTCCCCAACTCCTCCCTCCCCCACCCCCTGCCCCAAAGTTGTGAAGTTTGTTTTCAACATAATGTCTTGTACATCTCATTGTTACACTGGGTCAACCTGTATCCTTATTTCAGCATTTTGTTATTTCCCTTCCCTTCCCCAAATAAGAAAAATGTATATACAAGATACAGAGCACCAGAATCAAATACAGTGAAAACAGGGGTTATACCATGGGGGAAGAACATACAAAGAAACAAAAACAAATCACATAGTACTTAGGAATTTTTTTAAAGTTTCTTCTGAGACAAATATGAGTGACCATGTTATCGGAAACATGAATTCAAGTTCCTCAGAGCTTTATAGTGAAAGAGGTTACAAGAACGTTCACAGTCCCAATGAAACACAGTGATGGGCAGGTGTTTTCAAAATGCAGTGTGTGGTCTTTGGGTAGATGACTCCACATATTATCTTCTAGCATTCTTAGCTGTATGATTGGTAGGGCTTAATCTATCATGATTATGGATATTTTCACCAGAGAAACTGGAAGATAAAATGTGTATCATCCTCTCCTGCCAGAAAGCTAGTGAATATTCAGAGAGGAATACAATGAATCCACTAATACAGAAAGAAGAAAAGAGAAAAGCAAGGAAGATCTAACAAATGAGTTTTGACAGATGTAGGAAGGATGTTTTGTGGATAGGCAAGCAATAAGTTAATAGAACAGAAGAAAACTAAGCAGGCTAAACAATGCAGTCTGAATGAATAAATAGGAAATGGTTAGACTATCCAAAGGTGGGTGGTCAGACTTTAGGTGGACATTGAAAGGATAAGTGGTATTCTTTTTTTTTTTGGTGCGGTTGTGGGGCCTGAACTCTAAGCTTGGGCGCTGTCCCTCAGCTCTTCAGCTCAAGGCTAGTGCTCTACCACTTGAGCCACAGTGCCACTTCGGCTTTTTTCTTTTTGCTTATGTGGTGCTGAGAAATTGAACCCAGGGCCTCAGGCATGCAAGGCAAGCACTCTACCACTGAGCCATCTTCCCAGCCCCAGATAAGTGGTATTCTTTATACTCTCTGTGCAACTTTGTTATGGACCTTAAAGCTGCCATAAATTAATTGATTGATTTATTAATTAGTTAATTAAAGCCTAAGCCCGGCACTGGTGGCCCATGTCTATAATCTAGCTATTCAGAAAACCAAATTTTGGAGGAGGATCTATTATGGCCAAGCTAGGAAGAAAAGTTCACTGTCCTCCATCTCTAAAAAACAGGATTAGACCACTGGCTCAAGTTGTAGAGCAGCAGCCTAGCAAGCACAAGATTGCATTCAGACTCTATTCCTGTACAAAAATCAAATCAAATCCAGTATTGCTTATAGAAAGAGATACCTCTAACACCTAAATGCTTGCAACTGAAGCACAAAAATATTACTTGTTTTACAACAACTGAGACAGTTTTCCTCCTTCAATCTGTCCTTCCCTAAAGAAGACATTTATATGTGGAAACAGTATTGTGCATTTAATCCATACCACTCCACCTGTTTAGTGTGAAGTTAACTTAAAGTTAGCTTAATTGTGTCTTCACTATGTTCTGAGTGTCCACTAGGCTTGAGTACATACAAGTGTGTCTTTTTATCTTGCTGCATATATTATGTGTTTCCCCTCCACCCCCGGTGAATTTGCCACGTTTATCCCACACAGACTTACATGGGGAAGGCATTCATTTTCAGCTAAGTCAAATATCCTGCCTACTTCACATGCTAATTGATTTTGATGATTAGTTTAGAACAGAGCTCTATCTGGCTTGAGCACTCCACACTAATTTTAGAGGGTAGGTGTGTTTTACACAGTACAGAGCTTGGCCTTTTAGAAGGAATTGTTCTCAGGCTAACTTTAATCTCAATTTACCCCTTTCTGTCTCAGCCTCAGATCCACATTTCCAGGTGTTGTGCTGGTTTGTTTAGCTTGTAATCAAATCAAATTACCTGTGCCTAAAGAGTGGCAAAATGGCCCAGAGTTGTGCATGTGGGTGAAAGAAATACACACATACAGACACACACACACACACACACTCACACATACACATTCTTTCTCTCCAAAGACCTTCCTTCCTTTCATCCTTCCTTTCCTTACTTCTTTCCTTCTTTCTGTCTCTTTCTTCCTTTCTCTCTTCCTTTTTCATTCTCTCTCTTTCCTTCTTTTCCTTCTTTTCTTCCTTTCCTCCCTTTGTTGTTTCTTTCTTTCTTGTTCCTGGTACCAGAGTTTTAATTCTGTGCTTTGCACTTGCTCTTTTCTACTTAGGCAGGCTTTGAACCACAATCCCCTGGACCTCATCTTCTTGCATAGATAAGATCACAAGCATGAGCCACTGGCACCTGTCTCCTTTCACGATTTGTTTCTTAAGACAAGGTCTCACAGGCTAACTTCATGTTCCCAACCCTCCTGCCTCCGCTGGGACTACAGGCATGTGCCACCCAATTTTTAAAGTGAATCAATGAAAAGGTTAAATCATGATTTATGAATATATAACAATAAACATGTGCTAACATTTGTGACTTTTCTGAAGTGATATGAAGGGCCCCAGAATAATTTAATACATGTGGGGCCAGGCATGTGTGCTTTGCCCGGTACTCCAGGCCATGGAAGGTACTGATCATTTTGTATGGCCCATATAATGTTATAAATATCCATATAATGTTACAGATATGGCCCTTGTCTTGAAAAGAAAAGATTCCCCATTCCTCTGAGGAAGTTTGTTTTCCTCCTGTTTTACTCATTTGTTCAGTCAGCACAGGTTACAGACTAGTGATGCTATCTGGAAAAAAACAACTCCATAAAATAAAGCAAGTATAAATATATCTTGCTTCAACAGTGCCGTTAATATACATACTTCTGATTTTACTGTCATTGGCTTTCTGCTTGACTATCTTTAAGTCATCTTTCCCTAAATGGTCTGCCACCATTTGCAGGCAGATTCTGTTATTCTGCCATGCCATCTGGTGGCAGAAGACAGTAATTTGTCTAGGTCTTTTTTGGTTGTTTTGTTGTTGTTTTGAATATGTAGCCATGCCTTGGAAGACGTGGACAATGTACGAGGTGATGTTGTTTTGCCTGCTTGTTTGAGGAGATTTTGTCTAGAGGGAGTACCCTGGAAACTTTTAAAATCTACAATAACCTGTATCTACTTAGAAAAGAAAAACATACCAATCACTCAATGGCTGTAAATGTCATAAAATCTCTGCCAAAGCCAATATATAGAGTATATCCATCACTCCTAAAAGATTCATCATGTTCCTTTTACTTTTTTTTAAAGTCAGTACAGGGGCTTACCATGTAACCTTGGCTTTCCTGGAACTCACAATGCTCAACCTCCTGAGTGCTGGGATTACAAGCATGTACCACCACACCAGGCTCCTTGTGTTCCTTTGCAGTCGATCCCTCCTCAGTTATTTTTCTTCCTTTA